AGTTCTGGGGTTGAATTGAGCACCTGATCTCAATATCTGCTTAGGCATTAGTGGATTTGAGAGGATATCTTGTTATTTTGTGTTTCTGCTAGACTAAATTTGCTGCCATGAATCTGTTAGTGGAAACTTGGCACATCCAAGTATATTATGTCTTTTGGATAATAGGTGACTTCTCTAAACTTCCATGTTGGAAATGCAGAACACTGCTAGCTTATTTAGTTATGCAGCTACTTATTATATAATTTCTCATTTCTAAATCTTTTTCGAGTTTTGGATTCATTATGGGGGGCTTATACGATTGCCCATGTTGGTTAATTCTTAATTTCATCTGTTCTTTCTTTTATGTTCCTAGTCAGGAAATTAATGTATTTCCCCTCTTCTCATTTGTTTGATGAACAAAATTAGTAGTATTAATTAAACAATAATACTACCATAATAATAGTGAGACCTAAAGAGATAGTTTGCGATCCTAGGAGATTTTTGAGACACCCATTGTTATGAGATTAAAAGAGTGTTAGTTGCTAACATTTTTCTTTTAAAATTTTTAATTTTTGTTTTATTTTATTTGTCTCACAAACGTCTAACATGAATAGAGATTAAAAAAAATTTAAAATGTTATTTATATGGTAGCATGTAAAAATATTGGTATTTAAATATATGTACACGAAAGGAGCAAATACTATTGTAATAAATAAATTTTAAAAAATTGATAAAAAAAAAAAAAAAAGAAAAAGAAAAAAAAAAAAAAGCTTGAATCCTTTATTATCATCGTTAACGCACCCTCTAATCCCCTAGAAAAGTTGGTAGTTGTTGAGATCGGCCCAACCCAACCCAACCCAGTACGCTTGCGGCAGAGCGGCCCAAGTTACAATAAACATTCCCTATTCTCCCAATGAAAAGGAGAGGACCTGAATTGTGGAATCTCTTTTCCTTGTTATTAAGACGTGGAGGATCTCTTCATCTCAAAGCAATTTAGTCTTCTGCACCTGAAAATTGTATCTTTTTTGTGGCATTAACAAGGTCTATGGCAAAAGCAATAAAAAGTACTGAAGAGAAATGAATGGATAATGGATACTTGGGGAGTTATTCTTCTCAAGCTGGCAGCAAATGCCCTCACTGTTCTTTCTTGGTACCCATTTCCTTCTTTTCTCTACTTTCTTTTCAATTTCATTGCATTTTTCATTGCATTTATTTAAAAATACAATCTTTTGCATCCCGATCCATTGTTAAACTCTTGACGTCCAGATTCTGATCCACCATTTTCCATGTTTTGCCTTCACTTTTAGAGCCTTCTATTTCATGGTGTTTCAGTATTAAGAAACCAACACTATATCTTGACTTATGTTGACTTGCCTTGTTCTAATGCATATTATTATTTTCAACTTCTTTTGTTTTGCAGGCCTTCATTTACTCTAATCTATCCCTTGTAAGTAGTTAACCCCTTGATTTTTTTTCTTTTCCTCGCATTAATTTCTTATATAGAGTTTCAGTTCCCTCCCTGTTATTGTATTTTGAAAATGGGTTTTGCTTCCGCACAACTGAAACCTAGCATACATTTGATTGATCTTAGTTTTTCCTTTTTTTCCCCTTTCATTTCAATGCTCAGGTGGGCTTCGGTTTGGTCAATACAGAGTGATTCTTCCTCAAAAAATCAACGATGCCTTACATATTGGGTTCTGTTTGCTTTGTTTACAATGTTGGAGCTGACCTTCACAAAGCTTCTCAGATGGTAATATTTGCATTTTGAGTTGTGGGTCATGGTTAAATAGTTTGATCTTACTTTGTTCTAATTTTGGTTTGTTTGCGGATTGATTCAAAAATTTTGAGGGGTTATTCTATAATGGATGGAAATCAAGTAACTGATGGATGGCATGGTAGGTGGTTACCCATTCATGGAAAATTTTTGCAATGCTACTTGCTCTAGATTCTGGAAGATGGCTTATGTCCTGCTTCTGTCTAGTTGAATTTTTAAGCTCTGTTAAACTTTGTAGTATGTAAGAATGTCAAAGTGGATAAGAAGCCATGCATCTTGAACCTTGATTTGTAGCCCATATTCCTAAACATCTATATTTAAGCTACTTCAATGCATTAAACATACTATGAAGCTTGACTTTTGACCTGCATGGCATGCATGTAGATTTCAATTTGCTAGGATTTTCACTGAGTTTTATCATTGGGTTTGTTTCTTCATTTCAGGTTTCCTTTTTGGCCATATGCCAAGGGTATTGCCACTTTATTGCTGGTCACACCTCACTTTATTGGGGCTTCTCATGTCTACAACCGGTTCATCCAACATTTTATTGAAAATTCACTAATTCAGTACATCTTGCTTCCCCAAACCAAGAAGCCTTTCCCATTGAATTCACAGAATGATGTCATTGCTGCTACTGCTGCTGCTGCTGATGATGATGATGATGGTGACAGAAACGGTCCCAAGAAGGGACCAGAATTGGGGAAACCTGATTTCCAGGTAGGCGTGCTTTGACACTGAAGAATAATAGAATACATATGTAAAAATCCAATATACTGGCTCTATGTTTTTTAGCTACAGTAATCATCCTAAACCCAGCTGTATTCTCTGAGGTATTTCATTTATACCCTGATGCTTTGTGCACTTTTTTGTGTTTGTTCTCTCCCTCTCTCTTGGGGAGCAGGTGGGGGGTTGCAGTTTTGCATGTTGTTTCATTCCATGTTTGAGCAGGTGTGTTAAGCACATCAAAATGTCCATGTGTATGCTACTGCATCATATTGCTTTGAGCAGTGCTAGGTGCACTTGCTAATTGCACTCTCCAACCAACATGCCTTTTTATTGGGCCACATAAGCTTACTCTAGGCTATAATATGATAACCTCTCAAAACCCAAAATAACGTGGCCAAAAAAAAAAAAAAAAAAAAAAAGACAATGTGTTGAAAAGATGTTGACCTCTTAAATCAAAATAACATGGCCCAATGAAAATGGAGGTGTTGGTTGGAAAGTGCAATTGCCAAGTGCCCCTAGCGCCGCTCTATTGCTTTAATTCCATGCTGCCCACAAGTATTGCTGATATTTAAACTGGTAAAAGGGTGTGAGGAATCATTCGCTTGCTCTGTATCTTCTGTTTCTGTAAAGAGCTTAGCAGCTCTTATGTTTCTGATGGTCAACTTAATTTGACTTATGCATGTTCTCACAAGTTCTCAAGTAACTTTTGTTTTTGATGTCCATCAGTCCCAGGGGAATCTTGATCCTATTTCAGAGAATCAAGAAGTGGACCATACCTGGAAATCAAGTCCAAAGAAAGTTCAGAAGGAATGGAGCTGTGCGCTTTGCCTGATAACCACTACAAGTGAAAAATGTTTGAAGAAACATTTACGAGGGAAGAAGCACAAGGCCAAGGAGGAAGAACAAAGAGCAGTGAAGACCATTGACAATTGTTTTCTGAATCCAAATAGAACTGATAGGATGCTTTTTCTCAAGAGGTTGAACCAACTTGCTAAGATTAACCAAATTGCTAGGATTAACCTTGAAAGATGGAGTGGGATTCTAGGTCCTGTCACTCAATCAATTAGGTGGTGTAAATGGAAGAAGCCAGAGATTGGTTGGATAAAATTAAATACTGATGGATCTGTAGATCTTGAAAATGCAGGTTTTGGTGGCTTGCTTCGCAATCACAAGGGTGATCCAATCTGTGCTTTTGTCTCTAAAGCTCCTCAAGATGATGTTTTCTTAGTTGAGCTTTGGGCTGTTTGGAGGGGCCTTGTTCTTGCCTTGCGTTTGGAGGTTAAATTAATATGGGTCGAGTCTGATTCACTCCCTGTTGTGAAGACCATTAACAGGGAACAGCACTATGGCACAAAGGCTAGTCAATGTTTGAAGCACATATGGGAACTTCTAACAAAGTTTGAGAACTACAAGGTGACTCACTCATGGCGTGAAACAAATCAAGCAGCTGATCATCTTTCAAAGATGATTCTTGCAGGAAGTGATGTTGTCTTGTGGCCTGGAGATTTTCCAAAAAGCCTTCGTGATATTATCCAAGATGATGCTCAAGGAAGGATTTATCATAGACGGGGACTTCCTTCTGCCTTCCCATTTCTCACTAGTCCACCCCCACCCTCATTATGATCAAGAAAGGAAAAAAGGGGAAGATATATATGCTTGTAGAAAAGAGATGTATAAGTATGTTGCTCATGCAATTGTGGTGGAAAGATATGGGGAAATTTTTGTTCCTCATGCAATTGAGGGAAGAAAAAGGGGGAAGATATATATGCTTGTGGAAAATAGATGTAAATGTATGGTGGCTTCGTTTGTGGGTAAATGTACGTTGCTTGTGGGGAAATTTTCTAGTCATGGGAGAGGGATGGTTAGCGGTAAAGGTTTCTCTTAATTTGTAACAGGACTTGAGTTACATGATCAGTGGGTTACTGAGACCTCGTGTATTGTATAAAATGACTGAATTTCTCATAGATAACCAGGATAACCCAGTTACCTAGCATTTAATTTACTCCAATGTTTGCAGTAAACCTATTTCAATGTGCATGATGAAGCCTAGAAACATGATGAAGACTGGAAGTTTTCTTTGGAATAAAAATCTGCCCAAGGTTTGCATGCATGGTACAACATGTGTATATGTATCAAAACTGATAGAAGTAACAACCAATGCATCAACTCCCGTGCACCACCTCCTTCAGGAATCCTTTATGGTTTAGGAGCCTCCTCCCTTCTTCTACCTCTTGCTTACGTCCATAACCCTTGCCTGCATCCATACCATAGAGAGAAACATCCCCCTCTTTGCATCACTGGTCGACCTACTTTGGAGACATTAACACTGGCACGACCAACTTCAGCAACTAATTCCGTTGTGCTACTGGTGTTTGATCTCTTGTGTGGTCGGCAATTGCACCCCAGTAACCAACCAATTGATACCTTATCCCAACAACCTTAATCCGGCATCAAAGATTTACACTGCATCTTTAAGACAATGACAAAGACACACCTTGATGGTGGAAGACGTCCTCGGTGCTATGCAAAGCTAGATTCTAGTAGAGGATGGTGTTGGAATAGTAGTTTCCAGTGGAGGGTGGAACCTTTTGTCTCAGCAAGGATCCATCCGTTGGGGGTGTATGACTCTACCAGGAGGAAACCCATCAATTTCATTGGCTTGTGGTGGCGTTGATGATGTTTGTTATGGCCAGGCTCATCATGGATCAATTACAATGAAATCTTTTGGTCTCAACGTTGCAAAGACATTAATTTGTTTTCAAAGCAAACCATGGCTTGAGAGAAGTTTGGCATATCGTTTTTATTGCTTTTTGTATGAGTATGATTTTAGGGTTTTTAATCCAGGAGTTCATGGTTCAGGTGTGGCTCTCGTTTCAAGTTCCAATATAAGAAGGTCATGATCTACTAAGATAATTGCTCCATGAATATGGTAGGACTATTAGTGAATAAAGGTTATTGTTAATTGAATTACTTATTCTCTCTAAAATGTTGGCTTAGTAAGTGTGAAAGATCAAACTTAAAATGTTTATGACAACTTTCCTTTTACATTTATAATCTTA